TGGGTGCGGTCCTCCAGTCAGTTAGTGACCCATTTGACTGACCATTTTTTACAAGGAGAAATTCCTTCCATTAGAAGTAAACATTTCTATGTAGCTTAATTGTGCTCATTGTTTCATAGCCTGTGAAGCTTATAAGCTAGATAGTAATGGAACTTTTTGGTACATAAGGCAAAATGACTATACCAACATGTAGTATCAGATAACATTAGTAATAGATAGACCATATCCATGTGCTTCATTGGTTTTGATACGGACCTGTAATAGCACATTAGCTGTCTCTATTTAGTTATATGAAATTAATTATAGAGGTAAGCAAATCATTTGTCATGAAAAATCTGGGAAACTTAGACTTTTCCTGTTCACAAAAAAAATTGGATTTAAATCACCTTCCTCAAACTTGATATTTGGTCTGATGTTTATTTATAATTGTATGGATTGATTGAATACGAAGCATCGGATACGTGCTATTTGGAATCAGCTGTAATATGTTCAGTTTTGATGGGTATACTAAGTTGCATTGTATTGTTTCTTTTCTTTGAACACAGAAGAGATGTAAATATGGCAGCATTTAGTGATTCTACAGAGAAATTCTTAAAAATAGCTCTGTTTACAGATTTATTTGTTCCAGTTAATTTATATTTGATGATGTTTTGAAGTCTTATCCATTGCTTTGTGCAGTCCTGAGTGCTTTTTGGCACACTGTGTATTGAAATAAACATTTGAAAAAAAAACAAAACTTTTTTTGTGTGGAAACTGCCCAAACTTCTTTTATCCTAGTTTTAAGGTTTACTTACTAGCGCACGCACGCACACACAGACATATAAGATGTACAAAATATTTGACATATGTGTGTGACTGATTCTCTCTTTCCTTTTCAGGATGTTGTTTGGGGATTAAACTCTTTATTTACTGTAAGTAGGCAATGCTTTGCACATAAATTAGTCTCCGCTCTCAAGTGTTTTTTTTATTTTACGTGGAATGGACCTGATTCATGGGTACTTGAAGCTAATGTTAGTGTTATCACTGATTTTACTGATCATTAAATTGTTCCTCTGCGAACCATTTTTTTCTTTTGTATAGGTAACCTTGCAGCTTATATAGAAGAGCGTGTACTGCTTTTTGGAATTATTTTACATGGAGCCATAAAGCCATGAAGGGACCTTTGCTAATGAGTAGCTTTGGCTTTGTGGAAACCCCTTTTTTTTAAATTGGTGTACTGTGTGACAGGTGGCTATGATTTCCATTGCTAGAACTTTAAAAGACTTCCTTTTTTGGATAAAGGGATAAATGCTATTGCAGCATAGGTTAACAATTAAAATGGGAGGAAATTAAACACCTGTTTGAAGCTTTACCTTGGCCCCAGAATGAGAATAAACGCTAATCTTGCAAGGAAATTAGAATAATTCATGTGGGCTCCCATCTGTCATCTACCACCCCTCCTCTCTTGCCTGGGGATCTTCTGAACACATTACAATAAATTATTTCCCTCTTACAGCAGTGGCAGGGTGTTAGCAGTTCCTTTGCCTTCTCTGATTTGTGTGTAGCATATTATAGGGTATCCTTGGTGTTTTGGGTGTTATGACTAGTAGCTGTAGTTGAATGGGAGGATTTGAAGTGATGACTCAGGATTCTGTAGGTAAATGACAATGCAGGGGACTGGACTCTGTGGCCCTGGAGGCTTCTGAGTCCAGTATTCCATGTCCCTATCAAAGAAATTGGCAGGTGTAGAAAGGGTGCATCTTTTTTTTTTACCAAAGGAAGCTGCCTAGGGCAGCTGGAAAAAGTGGTAGTACCATTGTAAAAAAAAAAAAAAAAAAAAAAAAAAAAAAAAAAACCAAAACCCCAGGACTAATGGCAGAAACAGGCAACCAGAAACCTGAATAGTTATCTCTGAATAGTTTCTTGACTTCTAAGGGGCCCTCTAGACTTGCAGGTAAAGACACTATAAGATCTGATGCATGATCCACACAATCGTGCCTCCTGCCAAGCTGCACATGCATGGCAGGAGGCTCCATTGTGGGATCCAGCATCGGATCCATTCGCATCTTATTGCTGGTGCCAGAGGGCTCTACCTGCACCAGCATGTAGCAAACTCCTGCTGCTGCTGGAAGACTTGTTGCTCTCAGCCACGGAGGGCACATGTAGCCCCACATTCAATTAATAGCTTGTTAAGAGAGCCACAGAGTTATTATCATGGAACCTAGTTTTCCATTCGCAGTGGAAAAACCACAGAATCTGTGTTTTTTCCATGATCTACAGAAAGTGTGCTGGTATCCTGTGATGAACAGTGCCATTTCTGCTCTTCATTTTTGCTGTGCTTTTTGCCTCTGTCAGTCAACAGCAGAGGGAGGGAGGGGAAGCAGAGGGGGCACACTGCTGATTTGCCAAGAGGCAAAAACTGTAGCAAAAATGAGAGGGCAGAAATGGCACTGCTTGCCACAGAATGCTGCTGCGCTTTCAGTAGGTTGTGGAAAAATGTGGATTTTGTGTATGTTTTAAGCGGAGATTTTTGGCTTTTTCCCATAGAAAACTAGGATCCCTGGTTATTACACTTTTTTTGTAGAATCACTTTGTGGCTTATTCCTGGTTTTATCAAGCTATTAATTGATTGCAAGTGTGGTTGGATCACAACTTAAGCCACATCTATGTGTTATACTTAAGCAATTAATAGAGGTTTGCCCTCCCTTCCTTCGAAAACCTGTTTTTCCGGGGGGGGGGAGAGCACAGTTGTCATAGGCAAAGGTTGAAGAAGGGAAAATAAAAGGGAGATGCAGCCAGTCTCAGTCTGGGCTTTGATTTACCATCTCTTCCTTCAGCCTAGGCCTGTTTCCTCTATGCTTATCTCAAACAGAGGGAAGGAGCTGGATCTCTGAATTGCTGGTGCTACTACCAGAAATATTTTGTTCTCCTGTGTAGTAGTGTACAGAGCCCAGGGCAGCTGTAGCCTTTAAGGGCCACTGAGGCTTAATTTTCCTAGATATATATAGCCTTTAAGGTAAACTGAATGAAAAATATATTGGGGAGCCTTTACCACCTGAGTGCAGAATAACTTTATTTTAAAAAAAAAAAAAAAGTCCTTCATTGCATTTTAAATGACTAAAGCAAGGTGAATCCATTTGAGACGACAACAAGTGCATTCAGCAATAAGAGTGTATGTAAAATGATTCACTGTAAGACCATGTGGTGATGCACAACAAATTGCAGGGATTTATAATGTCCTTTAAGACCTATACTTTGCAGCCTCCATTTTTGTATTTCTCCTATGCAGCTCTTCAGAAGTTTGAGGGGTTTTTGTTTTGTTTTGCTTTCTGGGTTTTTTATTGGACTTAAGTGGGGGCTTTTTAGGAGGCATTACAGTTTATTAAGCTTTAAAATGATGGCTTAAGCTTGCTTCTGGAAAGTGAGTAGGTAGTTAAGGTTTTGTTTTATTTTTTTATTTTGTTTTGTTTTTGAGGAAAAAAGATAAATTTGGAAGTATGTGCTAAAATTACCATACAGATTAATTACTGTTGAAGCAAATCTCAGGGGCAGTGCTGTGAGCCTTTCACACTTGTAAAGTCATGGCACTTCACTTTTTATAGATGTTTAAAGAAGTAGTGACACAATAGATTTAAATCCCAGAGAAAATGATCTTTGTTTCCATAGTGATTTGTTCATGATTTTCTATGCTAACTTAACACAGTTTTTTGTCAACTTCTTGTGTCCCTCTCTTTTAACAATGTGAAGTACAGTGGTCATGCAAATTAATGCACTGGGATCTGTACTAGTGGTTCACATTTAGATGTTGTGCAGGTTTTGCCAGAAGTGCAACTTCTGTCTGCAACTTGAATATGGCAGCAGCAGGCTCCAGAGAGATTCTTCTACCTGCAGCACTAAATATCTTGTGGGCCTGACTTTCTTCTAAATCCAGGTTTTCTGCTTTTTACCAGAATCCTTAGTGTTCTGCCCATTGATATATTGGATATTCCTTGAATCTCTGAGATTGTTTTGCTGAGTGTCCTTCAAAAGTTGCCAAATTGTTTCCAGACAAGCAGTGAAAGGAAATGCCATCACTTTAAGTAGTGTCTACGTTCTTTTGGCATACACTTAAGCAGTGAATAACTTAACCAAATTAGTTTTCATTTGCACTAAGTAGGCTTTAAACCAGAGACATGTAAGCATAAAAATGAAAACGTTACTTAACACTTTGCCTCATCTGCTTATTTTATCATATTCAGATAGAGTTTTTCGTATTTAAAACGTTTTCTGTCTCTTTTACAGGATCTCTTGAATTTTGATGATCCTTTGAATATTGAGGCTGCAGAACACCATTTGCGTGACAAGGTGAGTCGGGATCTTACTCAAAGTATTTTCTTCCTTAACCAGTATACATGCTGTTCTAAATCAGTATCTTAGTCTTCCAGCTTTCTGGACTAGAATGACTTGGAATACCACTAGGCAGGTACCTTAACAAAATATATTCTCCTGTTAAAAAAATAAAACAAAAACAAAACAAAACAAAAAAAAACAAACCAAAAACAAAACCAAGTAGTAGTAGTAATATGAAGCACATACTAAACTTGTTAGGTAGAGTAAAATCCATCCATAGCATTCCATTCTTCTCACTTTTCTAAGGCACTTCCAGAGTCCAGTGTATTCTGTGCACCAGGTGATGGTTGGTTACTTTAAAGCTGTTATTCCAGATTGCTCTAAATTTGTCAGGATCTTTGACAAGAGACCTCCTCCTCTGCCTCCCTCAGAAAGACATCTGTTTCCTACCCAAGTCTCACGCAGTCCCTGCATTGTGTATTTCTTATCAAGCTAGAAGATCGGATGCTTTTAAGAATTCTTAGCAGAAGTCCTGCTTTTGTCAAAATATTGCCTCGAGTCAAGTTTTCTTGCACACTATGACCTGGACAATTCAAATATGGGAATGAATACTGACATAATTTTGAAAATTTGAAAAGCTAACCACTAACTCAGAGTATAATGAAAAATTTCAGTTAATAAGTCTGTTTACCTACAGGTCTATGGGGATGAGTTAATACTTTTGATATAGACCATACATAGTCCTGTTAACATATTTCTTAGGAAAAAGTAGGTAATTTCTTCTTTTGTATGGATCACAACATCTTGTTCATCACATACAGAGATATGGTCTAACTCAACTAGTTCAAATAAAAATAAAGTGGAGGGTTAAGGAATATATATATACATTTATTTATGAATCCTTTACATTCAGATTTCTTTTATAAGCCTTTGCATGAGGTTGACTTGATAAGTTATATACAGCTTCAGCATTCTGTTTCACCTTGAACGGTAAAGCTTGAAGGGTTTTAGAGCTCTTATGGTTTAAATATTTTAGTCTCCTGGGGTTCCTGTCCAAGTTGAGCGTAGTGATTAATGTGGAATAATCCTTTAAATAATGATGATTGAAATACTTCAATTAAACCAAGAAGGCAGTCAGCAGTCTGAATTCTGTAACAGAAGTGACAGCTTACTTCTCAGACTTCTAGACATTTATGATATAAGAAGATCTGGTACTTCTTTAACAAATATGTCTAGTTTGGAATTCATTTATTTGGTTGTATTTTTTTAAGTTTTGGAAATGTTTTGGGTCCATCTCATGATCTGATTTTCATTAAGGAATTTGTTTCCTTGGAAATATAGTATCTTTTGAGGTAAGGATACCATGGAGCTTCCTTAGACAAAAAAATAGGATAAATTAGCTATAAGCAAAAAACAAAACAAAAAAAGGCAGACAGAAAAAGAGCCACTGCAACAAAGACTGAGTCAGCCAAATTCTTTCTTCTTGTGCATTCTAAGACTGAACTGGTCACAAAGATTGAATCTGTATAAACTTTGCATGGGCCATTAGGATGTACACTGTCAGTAAGGATGTAACTTGACACCAGCTTATTACTGGTTGTGAAGTGCCAAAAGAAGAGAAACCAGTTTGGCTGTTGGATATTAAACTAATTTTTACAAGGAAGTCCTACCACATCAGAGATTAAAAAGGTTTCTTTAGATGGTAGCAGTCTTGAAAATAGCTTGTCAGGTTAAATTTTAGAATGAAAATAAATTGATTTTTCCTCTTGCATATGAAGTAGATAATTTTATACAACATATTATTTTTTTTTCTTCAAAGTAATGTAAATAAATAAATACATAAATAAGTACATTTCTTACTTTAATATATTTGACTGCCTGTTAGCAGTTGCATTTTCAGGTAATTTTTTTATCATGTTAATATATAACACAATGTGGAGGAGGCACCTTGGTAGGTTTCCTGCTGCCTGTGGTATAACTACTCTGAGAACATTCTGATGGTGATGCATTTCACTGGCTACTATTAATGCATCATCTATCCACCACCCTAAAATATCTTTGCTTCATATAAACATTTTCTTGTGCTTCTTTTTAAAAAACTCAGAGCACACTGTCCAGGGTTTGTGGTGGTTTGGTTGGTCTTAAATTTGAATGTCTAGTGTAATGTATATGCACCTCATTAAGGTAACTTTGCAATGTTCCGCCCCGTGTCATAATTTGTATTTAGAAATATTTTCCTATTAGGCCGCTGAGAACTTTATTGAATAATTTTCATCGAGAGGACATGCATTCAGTGTTAAGTGTCACCCCTAGAGTTGAAATAAATGTTTCAACAAAAGAGCTTTTTGTAAGTGTTTTGGCTTTCAACAGCAACAGAAATGAACCTCAAGCATTCTATTGTGACTCTCTAGAGGCAGCAAGTATATCATGGATGTCACTTCATTGGATTCAAATGTGAAGTGCTGAGATTCTTTTGTTGCTAATCTAGGCTAAACCTTCCTATTATATGAGTATTATCAGCTAATTAAAAGCTTGTCTCCAGTTATTTAAGTTGAAACGCTGAAGTTCATGACTCATTAGGCTGGCTTATGTCTTTTTACAGATTCTGGAAAAAAGGTATTTTAGTAGTTATGTTAAGTTGAACCCTTAATATTGATTCTTGGGGAACATGTAAATTACTTTGTAGGTGTGAGCAATACATTGGGCACTTTGGAGGTTAGTAGACTGCTCCAAAGTTTATCTGAGATTGATTTGTATAAAGTGAAAAATGAACTTTTCCAGCTAGATCTTACTCCACCCTCTAACTCTCCTGTGAAATATGAATTTTCATTTCTACCTGGCAGAAATTTTACATACTTTTCATTCTCCTATGCCTGAAGAAGGGTGTGTGCACCTGAAAGCTTGCAACTAAATAGAGAAAAACTTTTTTTTTGCAACTATCTAGTTGGTCTAATAAAAGATATGACCTCTAGTGCACTGTCTGCTTGTTTTCTTAGATCAACATGGCTATGACCTTTATCCCTGTTGCATTGGACATGGCATTTGTATCTGATTTCTGGTCTGAATGCATGAGGCGCATCAGCTTCCAGCTCTGGCGCCTTTTCAGCTAGATTAGATAGGTGAGAACTACTTAATTTTTTTTTTTTTATTTGTAGCTTTGTAGACCATGATCTTTTCACTGTTTAAAGTAGATAGAACTGCAGAAGCGTACCTGTATAAGGCACTGGACAAATCTTACGTCATTCTGTAATTTTCCTGAATGCTTTACAATTACTCAACATATTTTTTCAAAGTATGGATAGCAGATCTTAGACTAAGCATTCCAGAACTAGGTTTTGTGGGCACTTTTACACATGTTCTGGGGGGCGGGGCAGAGTTCTGAGAACCATGCTAGTTAAAACTTTGCAGCACTGTGTATCGGTGTCCCCATGCTTCAAAATGGCAGCAGGGGTGCTTGAACTAAAGCTTGTTTAACAAGCTTTAATTTAAGCACCTCCACTGAAGCACAGGGACACTGATATATGAGATGCAGAGGCTGGCTGCAATGAAGTAATTACCACACTTCAGCAGCCTTTGTGCTTGTGTATAAGCACCCTGTGTTGTCATTTCTAGAGATGATACTATCTCCTTACACTTGCTTGATATTTCCCTACTTATGCATCCAGGGATCACATTTTTCCTTCCATTGCAAGCTCAGGATCAACTGTCTATCACACAGTCCTTTTCACATTCTGCATTCCAGAACACTGGCTCCCATTTCATTAGTGTGACCTGCATCTACTTATTGCATTCCTAAAACATTCCTAAAAAAACCATATGGCTCTGTAACCGAGTTAGTCTCTATGGCAGGGGTGGGTAATTATTTCAGCTAGAAGGCCACTTAATGAATTTTAGTGAGCTGTCAAGGGCCACAAGAGTAGCCCTGCCCCTTGACAGGTGCGCAGTCCCCCTTCCTCCCTTACCTTTGCCACTGGAAGTCCCTGCCCTTGTCCCCAGAAGTATTCCTTTTGGGAGGTGAGAGTTGCCATCTTGGAACCAGAAAAAAAAATCATACACCAAGTCAAAAACCTACTACAACATAGTTCAGTTTTATTTAAAAAAAAATGGTTTTTTCCATGATTTTTGTTTGGGTACTGTATATAAAGATGATTGCATAATATCTCAAAAATAGTCTTACTTTTGTATGTTGTGTGTGGGGTGTGGCTTTGTGTGTGTGTGTGTGTGTGGTTGGGTGTGGGGGGATGTATGTGGTGTTTGTGAGGGCGTGTGGCTGTATGTGTGGCAGGGGCATAGAGTGTTGCAGGGGTGTATGTGGGGGTTCTGGGACCAGGGTGTGGGGTTTGTGGGGTGGGGCACACAAGTGCCAGGAGCTGCTTGTGTGCCACAGGGAGCCCTGTGTGGTAGAGGCGGGCTGGCTAGTTGCACTCTTTGCCACCACATACAGCACTGGCCAGAGCCATATCCAGCTGGGCAGCTTGCCTGCATGGGCTGCAATCTCCCCAAGTGCCTGCTGCTGCCACTGGCAGCGAGGACTGCACTACAGGGGGGAGTCCTTCCAGCACTGCCGTGCCCGCATTCCACACACCCCTGCCCCCACCCCGGCTGGGCAGCTTGTCCCAGCCCTAGCCCCAGTTCCTCCCTTCCTCGTCCCCCAACAGACTTACCAGTTGGAGGCAGCTGTCAGATGCCTGTTTAGCCTATGGCCAAATCTCTAAATCAGTTGAATCTTTGCCGAAGCTTTTTCTGAATCGATTTGGAGCTTTTACTTGGTCTCCCAATTCGATTCAGATTCTGAGATTTGGACCCCGAATCAGGCTGAATCTCCTCCAAATCAAATCAACTACCGAAGCTTTGCACAGCCCTACCAAGTAGTGTTTTGTTCGTGTATTCCTGTTTTAAGAGATGGAGAGAAAAAAAAACTGAGTGTTCAGTGTCTGGTAAAGTTACCTGCTGTATCATTGTTATAGATAGCTCTGTGGGTAACTTTCTCTTTTGATAGAAATCTGGAATGTTGC